ATAATGCTCTATCAATCAACAGCTGAAGACGATAGCTTCAAGCAATTCCTCTACAAATCAGACGATAGAAAGTACGAGGTTCGCTGGAATTCCAACATTATATTAGCATGACAATAGATTTTTAGCACGGTGGGCTCAATAGCATGACAGTTATCACCAATATATTTTTGGAACCCGTTGCCATTATTAAATGCCTTTGTGGGTGAATGTGATTCGTTCGTCTGCTCAAACCACGTGATGCATTCACAGAAACCGCCCGCGCAAATCGAATTTTAGGTTTCGTGTAAGATGAGGAGCTAAAAATCTGCCTGTCTCTGCTAGATTCTGTCCTAGACAAGTCGCTTGGAGATTTTTACTTAGTTTTTGCTTCGTAATTGAATTCGTCGTCGTCGTATTGCTTAGTGTCATAATGATTGCTGACCGGTACAACGATTTTCTCACGAATTGGACCCCTCCCCTGCCGGGGGCTGCCTTGATCCGCCCCCGATTGACGGAGACAATCACAATGAGTTCGTTAAGAAAACGATGAATGTCCATCCGTAATAGGTCCATGCTTTGCATGAGTGAATGCACTGAAAATGTTAAATGTGATTCGTTCGTCTGCTCGAATCACGTGATGTATTTCAATTTAACACATGCATTCAAAGAGACCGCGCGCGCGATGACAATAGGTTTCGTGTTAGATGAGAAGCGAGAAATTTGCCATTCTCTGCTAGATTCTGTCCTAGACAAGTCGTTTTGAGATATTTACTTAGCTTTTGCTTCGTTCGCCTAGCTTGCTTTGAACCACTGTTATTTCACTTGTGTAATAATGGTCTTTTACGGCAACAAGTTCACCGGGAACTGTGTGATGAATACCCTGGAGGGTACTCGTTGTAGGAGGAAGGCACCCCTGCCTGTTGATGAAGTGGAAGAGTGCTGGCAACACCGACAGTATGTATATAGTTATTTTCTAAATTAAAAATGAATTTACCAACTAGTAGTCAGCTCTCATGGAGAATTCGACACCGTTCGGGTGTTTACCCAACAACAGGTGTTGTCAATCACCCGGGTTAGCCTTGATTTTTATGACCATTAGACCTTATGTAATGCTTTGGTTTCCCCGTTACCCGAAAACTCTCGAGTATTATCCGAGAAATCAGAAGGGGGGGGGGTGCGGATTCTTGACTGGCCAACGGGTTTGCTGTGTGCAGATTTGTACCCCCGTTAATGGTATTTCCACCAAGTCTGGTGTCGGCGAATTATGGCCTTCTGCGCATGGAAACTGCTGATACAGTCCCTCTAATACACGCAGGATTTTGACCCTTCAGTGAGTTGAAAGTTATTTGTTTTGGGTCATTCATTGTAATTACCCTATCGAATGTCTTACCAAAATTGCAACATCTGCACTTTTGTCTTATATATTCGCATTCTATTATTTGCAATCTAGTAGTAGTAATAGACTATATGTCCTGTTTTATGTTTCCTTTATTACAGACAGCCAGCCGAGGTCCAGTGCTCTGCACATATTGGGCTTCATGGGAATGGCAGACGTTGCAGCCGGCGTGGACGTCACTCGCTAGACGAAAACGCTGTTGAACTCTACTGCACGCAACACGGTATGCATTTATTCAAAGTAAATTAATCTCTCACATGTAACTTAGATCTACATTTTAAAAAGGCGTCTTGTGGACCATAATTATAGAGCTACATGTATTTGCCCAGACCATTAGCGGATCCAGAATTTTCCAGGGATCGAGGGCCGCATATTGCCATTGGTAAAAATATTAAAAATGGAAGAGTAAATATTGATTCATGTACATATGTATATTGATTCAAAATATTTTGAAACTAATTACACTGCCTCCCTCCGCCTCCCCCTCCCCCTCCACTCAGTGTTATTTTAGGGTAGGCAGCATATATGCATGTTCCCTCCCTTTGAAAGCACCCCCTATCTCCGGTGTGTAAAGTCAATACTGGCCAGATTTTCGTGTATGTACGGGCCTTTGTTGCGTGAAAAGTAGCCTACCCCTTTACCCTGTAATATGGGATCATTGAATGTGTACGTTGGTGCATTGCCAGGGGGTATATTCAAGAATAAATGGAGAATCGTGTATTTGAATGTGATCTGTGAAATGCCATGCATGTACTAAGTAGCATGTCCTCATTTATGTTTTCGTTTGGTTTATACAGTCAACAAGTTGCATCGCGAGAACGGTCGTGCGGAGGTCGTTCCTGCTCATCGCCAACAGCAGGATGAACAGCGTAGGAGGGCGGAGGAGCGTGAGCAACTCCACCCGAGACGAAGGTCACCGCGTCTGGTAGAGCGAGAGATCGCAGCTGCCGCCGCTGTTCAACTCGCCGCGGAGAGAGAGCAACGTCGTGCCGCCAATCGGGCAAACCAGAACCTGCGGAGGTCGGCCCGGATTGCCGCGAGGCGAGGCAATGTGTGATTGTAGCCTGGGTAAGTAATTTTTTTTTATATGCTTTCCTAATTTTAAGTATTCTAACAATTCCTACCCCCACAACAAAAAATAACTAAACAGATGAGCATGCAATGTATTCAATGTACCAAACACAATTTTTTTAATTGAAGACTTGACAATGAGCCAAAACTTTACAACATAGCAGCAACTTTTAATGAAAGGGAAAGTGAAAGTTTGGGCATAAACCGATTAAGAATAAGAAAGTTATGAATTTTTAAAGGTGCAATCAATTAATGTTTCAATCAAATATTTGACCTAAGTATTATCATTTCAAGTATAGTGTTAAGCAACCCCTGTATGAAACGTATCTATTCCGTTATCAATATCTAAGAAAATGAAAATTCATGAAATTGTCTGTAGCCTACAGAGCAAATTGGAGATGAGCTTGCATGATGTCACATTTTTTTCACTGATGACAGCTTTAAAATTCATAACTTTCATATTTTTATTGTTATATATGCTTTTATTACAGTCAACTTAATTTAAGGGTGGACTTCCCCCTTAGTATAAATGATTTTTTAAACTCACTTCATTCTCCTTTCCTACAGACTGATTCGCAGAAGCAGCAGGGGGGAGACCGAGGGGGGATACTGGGTCGAACACTGCTGAGGTTCTCGGGACGTAAACGCCTTGCTATAGGAGTAGTAGGGAGGAAGCCGAGACGGGTAGTGCATGGTCACTCAAACCAGGCCCGCTGCACTATCGTGGTCAAGAAAGACTGGGTGTGGTCAGTCGGGGTAGACGCCGGAGGCCATTCTCTTTCTTTGACCGCCTGTAAATTGTTTCCAAGAAGGTATGTGTACTGTTTATTATTAGGTTTCATACAGTGTATGTTTGAAATAGTAATTAGTTTTTTATAACATTATAGTAGTACATGGTGAGTCTTCATGTTTGCTTCTGTTTGCATATGTCCTCATCATTTCGGAGAGTATGCAACTGCTATGTTTCCTCTATTTTATAATTAGTAAATGTAGGGCCGAAAGGTGAAATAAGTCTATTTTGAAATGAATGTATAAACTTGCTATATACTATACCTAACAAAATGTCATAATTTGTCTTCGAGTTTTAAGATTGTATCTGCCCCATCATATTTACTTTGAGATGCCTAATACAGCATTCTGTTTACCTCTTTATTCCACAGATCAGGCCTCGCCGTGGGACGCGCACACACGTCGTAGGTATGCAGGTATTTCAATGTCTACCTTGTGACAATATGTTCCTATTCACCAGATCTGTTTACCCCCATACCTCCTAATGGGAGTCATGTATATATATATGAGTTTGACACGTTGGTTACTAAGTTGAGAACTTGTGAATATTTGGTCGAAAATCTTTTTGAAATATACATTATATTGTTTTAACAAAGGATTCAGAAGTTGTCTTCTTTTGTAAGTCTTAGTTATTGGGTTTTGCAATCATCCCTCTCATAAAAGCAGTTGTACTGATATTTCAAATATCTTGTTGTAAGAGCTACACTTGGCAAGAGTTGTCCAATTACCCAGTTCGTAATTAGCACGAAATATCCACTGAATATCTTAACATGAAGAGACCCAACATGATGCTTAAAGTGGAGGGGTCACGTGAACGTCTTTTATCTCCATTTAGAGACAACTTTACCTGTGTATCATGAAATATCAATGGTGCATGAAATAAAAATGAATATTTGAACATGAGCATGTATCCAGTATTTTTGTCCACATTTTTTAAAACCAAAAACAAATTTAGACTGCAATTACAAACTGGCTTGTAGGATGTGTACCGGTACTTGTGGAAAGATTGTACTGTCATGTGGAATATCAGAAAATGCACAAAAGAATTAGAAAAGAAGATTCCAACAACTAATGATCTTATACGAAAATGGTTTCAAACTAATAAAATGAAATACTATTAAAAAATATCAAATTAAAAAATATAAGTAAAATTAAGAATAAAAATATAAAATAAAAAAAATGATTCAATTGAATAGAATACATTCTTTTTATAAAAAGGGTTAGAAATGCGAAGTTTCAAACAGTAAAACCACTTTAATCATGAAGCATTATTGATCATAAAAGTTTTCCAGTCCATTGAAACAAAAAAGTTAAATCTCAGCTTCTAATTGCAATTACTTGGTTCAAATTTCTTATACATTATATCCAATTTATGCATATATAGGTTCTACTCACTTATAACAAATCCCATTTTGTTTCTCTTTTTGTCGCGGATTGTTCTCAATCCTATCTTTTAAAGGGGTGCATATTCCCGACATCTTACAATTTGAAGAAAAAAAGGAATCACTTAATTTAAGTCACCTCACACCTTTATGTGTGGCTGGGTTAAATAGTTGTCCATTTATAGTTGAGTATGAGACAATATTTTAATTTGTTGATTTTAGTATATTATTCAAAGTTACCATAATACGTAGTAGCATGACATCGGACACAAAATATATCGTGTTCACTATTTTCAGGTATACGGCCCCAGTAAATCCCATGTGTGGTCTCTAATGGGATTGGTTATACTCTCTGTGAAATGTAATATTTTTATCCTTTTTCCTTCTCCGCTAATCTTTACAGTTTGTCTCTTCAATCTTATACAATTGCTTTTATTGTGGGTTGTTTTTGTTGTTCGTCTAGTAGGATAGGACTCCTTTTACATGTCTTTAAATATATTTTAAACTTTTTTCTGATTTTCTTCTCAATTCTCCACTAAATAAATTAAATTATTTAATACAGTAGGCCCTACTTCAGATTTGTGACAAAAATACCTTCAAACACACCCTATTCTTTTCAAAATGACCTATCAAATTCTCACTTGCATGTGTGAATGACCTATCAAATTCTCACTTGCATGTGTGAATATACTAACTCCCTCCCATCTCCTATAGATACATCCCCCTCCCTCTATAACTCTTTTTTAAAACTAAAAATAGACAAATTAGTATTGCACTGTATATAACATCTACGAAAGTTGTGATTCCCTCTTTCAGTCTTTTGTTATTATCCAACAATTCTCAGTATTTTTTTAACAGCTGTTTATCTTGTCCAATGCTCTTTTTGATTTACCCTTCTCTCCATTGCAGCAGGGATGGTTCTCGATATTGTAGAATTTTCTAATAGCTCCTTACATCCTAACAATATTGAATCTTTAAGGGTCATTCCGTAAAATTGAGACAAAAACAAAATCAAGATTGAGAAGGTTGTGAGGAGATCACGAAGGTTAAAGAGTGAAGAGTAAAGTTCTGAAAAGACCTGTTCGGATACAGACAGTTCATATTATTTTATATCATTCTTTCCTCTTTCTGTATCATTTTATCTTTCTATTTATTTTTATTTGTTTATGTCTTGGTCTTTATTTTTCTTCTTTATGTATATCAGCTCTAAATCAAGACCCATCCACTCTTCCCCTCTTTCTCCCTTTCTATCTCTCACAATTTCTCCCACTTTCTCGCTCACTATTTAAGATTATGACTTATCAAATCTACATTTGCTTGTTTGAATAGGATACATAAAATTCAAAGCAAGACTGCCTTCTCCCCTTACCCCCTCCCCTCCTCCTCTGTCTGTACCTCTCTCTCTCTCTCTCTCTCTGTATATATATATATATATATTTAGGATTTAACATTCTTTGTTCATGGAATACTGTACATCTGATTTAAATTAAATATAGAATACCTAGTGGAATAATATTGCATATCGCGTTAAAAGCAGGAAATGTGATTCCTCCCTTATTTTTCTTTACATTAATTTATTTTTAAATGTAGATTTAGTTATTCGAATACTGTACCATGAAACAGAAGGGATGGGAACGCTATGTAGGTGAACAGCACGCCTAGTCAGGTCCTATAGTTTTCTTTCATTTTAAGACATTAAATTGTATTTTTTTAGTATTCATAGTGTTAGGTTAGGAAATTAATGGCTGGGAGAAGATGGTGACCTGTGAATGATGAGCCTCCGGTGCACTGTCCCTTAAGTTGTAGGTAAACGGCACGCCCAGTCAGTTGCTATTTTTCTTTCAATTTGAGACATTAAATTGAATCTCTTTTGGTGATTCATGTTGTTAGGTGTAGGTAATTACTGGGGCTGAGAGATGGTGACCTGTGAATGATGATCATACAGGGCACTGTCCCTTTAGTTGAAGGTGGAATGCGTCCCCGTTTAGGTGTTAGTTTTCTTTTATTGTAAGATATTATATTTTTGTGTGTGTGTGGGGGGGGGGTATTCATGGTGCTAGATTAAGTCTTCACTGACTGGAAGATGGTGACCTGTGAATAATGAGCCTATATGGGGCACTGTCCCTTAAATTGTGGGCGAACGGCACGCCCAGTCATGCGCTAGTTTTCTTTTATTTTAAGTCATTACATTTTTTTTTTTGGGGGGGGGGTATTCATGGTGCTAGGTTAGGTCTTCACTGGCTGGGAGATGGTGACATGTTAAATTATGAGCCTACTTGGCGCTGTCCCTTAAATTGTGGGCGAATGGCACGCCCAGTCATGTGCTATTTTCTTTCATTTTTTGTCATTACATTTTTTTTTTTTTTTTTTTTGGGGGGGGGGAGGTATTTATGGTGCTAGGTTGGGTCTTCAAAGGCTGGGAGATGGTGACCTGTGAATTATGAGCCTACTGGGCACTGTGTGCTAATTTTATTTTATTTTAAGATTTTACTTCTTTCTTCTTTTTTTTTCCTTTTTTCTTTTTTTTTTTTTTTTTTTGGGGGGGGGGGTATTCATGGTACTAGGTTAGGTCTTCACTTGCTGAGAGATGGTGACCTGTGAATTGTGAGCCTACTGGGCACTGTCCCTTAAATTGTGGGAGAACGGCACGCCCAGTCATGTGCTAATTTTCTTTCTTTAAGATTTTACTTTCTTCTTTTTTTTTTTCTTTTTTTTTGAGGGGGGGGGGGTATTCATGGTACTAGTTTGGGTCTTCACTGGTTTGGAGATGGTGACCTGTGAATGATGAGCCTACTGGGCACTGTCCCTTTAATTGTGGGAGAACGGCACGCCAAGTCATGCGCCAATTTTCTTTCTTTAAGATTTTTCTTTCTTCTTTTTTTTTGAGGGGGGGGGGGGGTATTCATGTTACTAGGTTAGGTCTTCAATGGCTGGGAGATGGTGACCTGTGAATGATAAGCCTACTGGGCACTGTCCTTCAAATTGTGAGAGAACGGCACGCCCAGTCATGTGCTAATTGTCTTTCTTTAAGATTTTACTTTCTTCTTTTTTTTTGAGGGGGGGGGGTATTCATGTTACTAGGTTAGGTCTTCAATGGCTGGGAGATGGTGACCTGTGAATGATGAGCCTACTGGGCACTGTCCCTTAAATTGTGGGAGAACGGCACGCCCAGTCATGTGCTAATTTTCTTTTATTTTAAGATTTAACTTCTTTCTTCTTCTTTTTTTTTCCTTTTTTCTTTCTTTTTTTTTTTTTTTTTTTGGGGGGGGGGGGTATTCAAGGTACTATATTCTTCACTGGCTGGGAGATGGTGACCTGTGAATTATGAGCCTACTGGGCACTGTCCCTTAAATTGTGGGAGAACGGCACGCCCAGTCAAGTGCTAATTTTCTTTCATTTTAAGATTTTACTTCTTTCTTCTTCTTTTTTTTCCCTTTTTTTTTTTTTTTGAGGGGGGGGGGTATTCATGGTACTACGTTAGGTTTACTGGCTGGAAGATGGTGACCTGTGAATGATGAGCCTACTGGGCACTGTCCCTTAAATTGTGGGAGAACGGCACGCCCAGTCATGTGCTAATTTTCTTTTATTTTAAGATTTAACTTCTTTCTTCTTCTTTTTTTTTTCCTTTTTTTTTTTTTCCCTTTTTTTTTTGGGGGGGGGGTATTCAAGGTACTATATTCTTCACTGGTTGGGAGATGGTGACCTGTGAATGATGAGCCTACTGGGCACTGTCCCTTAAATTGTGGGAGAACGGCACGCCCAGTCATGTGCTAATTTTCTTTCATTTTAAGATTTTAATTCTTTCTTCTTTTTTTTCCCCATTTTTTGGGGGGGGGGGGGTTGACATTTATGGTACTAGGTTAGGTATTCACTGGCTGGGAGATGGTGACCTGTGAATGATGAGCCTACTGGGCACTGTCCCTTAAATTGTGGGAGAACGGCACGCCCAGTCATGTGCTAATTTTCTTTCTTTAAGACTTTACTTTCTTCTTTTTTTCCCCTTTTTTTTTGAGGGGGGGGGGTATTCATGGTACTAGGTTAGGTCTTCACTGGCTGGGAGATGGTGACCTGTGAATGATGAGCCTACTGGGCACTGTCCCTTAAATTGTGGGAGAACGGCACGCCCAGTCATGTGCTAATTTTCTGTCATTTTAAGATTTTAATTTTTTCTTTTTTTTTTCCCTTTTTTTTTGGGGGGGGGGTTGATATTTATGGTACTAGGTTAGGTCTTCACTGGCTGGGAGATGGTGACCTGTGAATGATGAGCCTACTGGGCACTGTCCCTTAAATTGTGGGAGAACGGCACGCCCAGTCATGTGCTAATTTTCTTTCTTTAAGACTTTACTTTCTTCTTTTTTTTCCCTTTTTTTTGAGGGGGGGGGGGGTATTCATGGTAATATATTCTTCACTGGCTGGGAGATGGTGACCTGTGAATGATGAGCCTACTGGGCAATGTCCCTTAAATTGTGGGAGAACGGCACGCCCAGTCATGTGCTAATTTGATTTTATTTTAATATTTTACTTTCTTCTTCTTTTTTTTTTCCTTTTTTCTTTTTTTTTTTTTTTTTGGGGGGGGGGGGGGTATTCAAGGTACTATATTCTTCACTGGCTGGGAGATGGTGACCTGTGAATGATGAGCCTACTGGGCACTGTCCCTTAAATTGTGGGAGAACGGCACGCCCAGTTTTGTGCTAATTTTCTCTCATTTTAAGATTTTAATTCTTTCTTCTTTTTTTTTTCCCTTTTTTTGGGGGGGGGGGTTGATATTTATGGTACTAGGTTAGGTCTTCACTGGCTGGGAGATGGTGACCTGTGAATGATGAGCCTACTGGGCACTGTCCCTTAAATTGTGGGAGAACGGCACGCCCAGTCATGTGCTAATTTTCTTTCTTTAAGACTTTACTTTCTTCTTTTTTTTCCCTTTTTTTTTGAGGGGGGGGGGGTATTCATGGTACTAGGTTAGGTCTTCACTGGCTGGGAGATGGTGACCTGTGAATGATGAGCCTACTGGGCAATGTCCCTTAAATTGTGGGAGAACGGCACGCCCAGTCATGTGCTAATTTTCTTTCTTTAAGACTTTACTTTCTTCTTTTTTCCCCCTTTTTTTTTGAGGGGGGGGGGGGGTATTCATGGTACTAGGTTAGGTCTTCACTGGCTGGGAGATGGTGACCTGTGAATGATGAGCCTACTGGGCAATGTCCCTTAAATTGTGGGAGAACGGCACGCCCAGTCATGTGCTAATTTTATTTTATTTTAAGATTTTACTTCTTTCTTCTTTTTTTTTTCCTTTTTTTTTTTTTTTTTGGGGGGGGGGTATTCATGGTACTATATTCTTCACTGGCTGGGAAATGGTGACCTTTGAATGATGAGCCTACTGGGCACTGTCCCTTAAATTGTGGGAGAACGGCACGCCCAGTCATGTGCTAATTTTCTTTCTTTAAGACTTTACTTTCTTCTTTTTTCTTCTTTTTTTTTTTTTGGGGGGGGGGGGGGTATTCAAGGTACTATTTTGGGTCTTCACTGGCTAGGAGATGGTGACCTGTGAATTATGAGCCTACTGGGCACTGTCCCTTAAATTGTGGGAGAACGGCACGCCCAGTCATGTGCTAATTTTATTTTATTTTAAGATTTTACTTCTTTCTTCTTCTTTTTTTCTTTTTTTTTTTTGAGGGGGGGGGGGTTGATATTTATGGTACTAGGTTAGGTCTTCAC